TAAGAATCCTAGACGCAGCTCCCAGATCCTTCATATCGAATTCCTTATTAAGTTCAGCCTTCACCCTCATTACATCTTCGACATTGTTGCTTGCTATTAGAATATCATCCATATAGAGCAACAAAATAACAAATGAATTACCCGATCGAAATCTAAAGTAAACACAGTGGTCGAACTGACTTCTGATGAAACTTACACGTGCCATGAACTTGTCGAGTCTCCTATTCCACTGTCGAGGAGATTGTTTCAGTCCATATAAGGATCTATTCAGCTTGCACACATAATCTTCCTTCCCTTTTTCGACATACCCTTCAGGTTGCCTCATCAGGATTGTTTCATCTAAATCACCATACAAGAACGCAGTCTTCACATCCATCTTTTCCAGTTCAAGGTCGAACTGTGCCACTGTGGCAAGCAACATTCGAATGGATATGTGCTTCAAAATAGGAGAGAACACATTATTAAATTCGAAACCTTCTTTCTGAGTGAACCCCCTAGCAACCAATATTTCCTTGTATCTCTTCGATGCCACTCCTTCGATTCCTTCCTTAACTTTGAAAATCCATTTACAACTGACTAACTTGGCTCCAGCAGGTTTCTTAATCAGTTCCTAGTTATTTTTATCATGAAGAGATTTCATCTCATCATCCATAGCCTTTAGCCATTCATTCTTCTTTCGACTCCTCATAACTTCCTTATAGTCTCTAGGTTCTTCGTCTAGAACCTCACTTGCAGAGATTAAGGCATAAGCTATAAGATCTACATACCCAAGTCTCTGAGGTGGCTTGATGACTCTCCTCGACCTGTCTCTTGCTAGCAGATAGTCATTATCAGCCTCCTCATCTTTTATAACATCTTCTGCGTCTTCTTCGACTTCATCTGGCGTACGCAATTCAGCATCAACATGCTCCACCTCAACAGGAATCTCTCCCTGTTCCAGCTCTTCGTCAGCATCATCAGTTTTCTTGAAATCCATCTCTGCTTCATTGAAAACTACATCTCGACTGGTGACACACCTCCCGTTACCTGGCTCTAGGCACCATAGCCTATAAGCTTTAACTCCTTTAGAGTATCTCATGAACATGCATTTCAGAGCTCTAGGTTCTACCCTGTCTTGCATAACATGAGCATAGGCCACACAACCAAATACTCTTAGTCTTTCGAGACTAGGTGGATGTCCCGACCAAACTTCTTCAGGTGTCTTCATTCCCAAGGCAGTCGAGGGACATCTATTTATTAGGTAAGTTGTTGTCAAAATAGCTTTCGCCCAAAACACCTTCTTCAATCCAGCACTAACCAACATGCATCTAATCTTTTCAAAGATTGTTCGATTGAATCTCTCAGCTAAGCCATTTTATTGAGGAGTACCTACTACAGTCTTATACCTTGCAATCCCAGACTTAACACAGTAACTTTCGAAAGCTTCGTTGCAGAATTCAAGGCCATTGTCGGTTCTCAACCTCTTAACCTTTCTACCAGTTTGAGTTTCGACCAGAATCTTCCAACTTTTGAAATTCTCAAAAGTTTCATCATGCGTCTTCTGAATGAATACCCATAGCTTTCTGGAATAGTCATCAATGATGGATAGAAAATACCTTGAACCTGAGTGTGAAGGATTCCTTGCAGGCCCCCAAAGATCAGCATGAATGTAATCTAGGGATCCATGTGTTCTTTGCTTGCCTATGTTAAACTTCGCCCTACAGGATTTACCAAATATACAAGATTCACAAAACTCCAACTTTTCGACTTTGTCACCTCCTAGTAGGTTCTGCTTCCCTAATTCGACTAGGCCTCTTTCACTGACATGGCCCAATCTCATGTGCCATAATTCTGTCTTCGACACAGGTTTCGTGGATGCAACATTTGTCGAACCACTTACAACCTCAGCCTCAAGAGTATACAAGCCTTGTTTCTTCACGCCTCTCAAGACTTCCTTCGACCCCTTCATGACTCTTAGGATACTTTTCTCTCCTTGAAAAATATATCCCTTTCTATCGAATTCACCAAGAGAAATCAAATTTCTCTTCAAGTTAGGTACATACCTGACTTCAGTCAATAACCTTATTGACTCATTATGGAGCTTGAATCTCACAGATCCAATACCTGTAATTTTGCAAGATTTGTTGTTTCCCAGTAGCACAGATCCACCATCTTGATCACATAGCTCCTCGAATAATTATTTGTTTGGAGTCATGTGTCAAGTGCAACTTGAATCCATAATCCACTCTTTTTCTCGAGTCGCCACTTGAAACCACAAGAACATCAGATGAGTCATCTTGAACAATGGTTGCATTACCATTACCTCTATGATCTCTCAGGCGTTCAGGGCACACCTTTCTTGTGTGGCCCTCCTTCTTACAATGATAACATTGAATACTAGATGTTTCACCACTATAAGACTTCTGCTGACTTTTACCTTTCTTCTTGTCGAACTTACCATCCTTTCACAATAATTTTCCCTTAACGGTCAAACCTTCGCCCACCGTCAAAGGTTTATGCTCCTTTTGTTCGTTCAAGTCCTTAGAGTACAGGGCTGATTGAACTTCTTCAAAGGTCAAGGACCCCCTTCCATACAAGAGAGTTTCTTTGAAGTGAGCATGTGTTCTAGGCAAAGCACACAACAACAACAGTGCTTGATCTTTATCATCGATCTTCACATCAATATTTTCAACGTCAAGAATCAGCTTGTTGCACATATTTAACGGCTCAGCCAAAACTTTGTCTTCACTCATCTTGAATGAATACAAAGCTTGCTTCGAATAAAGTCGATTCACCAGAGATTTGGTCATGTACAAACTTTTGAGTTTCACCCATAATCTCGATGTTGTAGTCTCCTTTGATACCTGTCAAAGAACCTTACCACTAAGGCTCAACAATATTGCGTTGTGGGATTTCTCAATCATACCCGTCTTTTCTTTTGTCGTTAATGTAGCGTCCATGATTGCCTCTCCCTTCAACGCTTCCAAACAACCCTGCTGAACTAGTAGGACTTTCATCTTCAAGCGCCACAGACCGAAGTCGTTTACTCCTGTGAACTTTTCAATCTCATACTTTGTTGAAGGCATCTTCTCCACGCTCACCGCACCAATTTGTTATGAATCGGATGCCTTGAAACAAAGTATAAATAGTTTCTTTATGATCAAGAAACAAACAAGGGTTAGGGTTAACAAAGAAAACAAGGTAAAACAACAAGGAACAATAAGGATTGGTTATAAACTGCTATTCTTTCCTTTCTCTTATAAACAAGATTACAAGTATACAAGAATAACAAAATAACTTCTCTCCCTCTCTTTCTCTCTCTCTCTCTCTCTCTCTGTCTGTCTTGAAATTAGGATTTTATCTTCCTATTTTTCCTTATACAAGATGAGAGACTAGTATGCTATTTATAAGAAAACTAGCACACTAACCTAATGGGCTTTTTAACAATTACCCATTGAAAGCTAACTTATGGTACAAGCTAACTTAAACAATTGGGATTACAAGCAAGGCCCAATTCAATATGCTAACAAACCTAGCAATATTGACTAATGCATGTTATAGAACAAACTTCGACTAAAACACGCATTACTCACAAGCAGACTTCGACCATACTAGAGTTCGACCCAACATCTCACAGTCACGCTTATGAAAATTTATGGTTTTTCCTCTCCCCCTTGACTCGGTAACTAGAGTTTTAAAGTAATTAGGAGTAATAATCAAACCGCACTTTTTTCTTCTAACTTCTTCATTAAGCATGCTATCTTTAACCCTGACATTCCCAATTTTCCATTTGAATCTGGATTAGTAAATGCCATAACAAGAACTTCCTAGTTATCAAGTAAGGAACTAAGCAGTAATAAGGCTTGTAATTCATCATCTAACTTAATATCAGTAGCTGCTAACTGATTCACTATATTATAAAACACACTCATATGTTTTGTCATTGAGTCACCATCCTTGTATTTCATGCTAACCAGTTTTCTGATCTAACGTGTTTTATTTTTCATGTTCTTGTGCTCATACAACTCTTTTAATTTATCCCATATTTTATGTGCACCAGTTTCAGCTTCAACATGAGGATATAGGCTTAAGTACAACCATTGTCTGATTATAGCAATTGTCTTCTGATTCATCTTCTTTCTTTTGGCTCAGACTTATCACTTAATTTACCTTTCTCCATTTAAAATGCATAAAAAATGTCAACCAGAGCTCTGATACCATTGATGAGTTATCATGAGAGAAAAACGTTCACATTGGGTCAAACACTTACTTAAAGATTAAATACTCACTTAAACAATTGAGAAAAACACCACATATTCACCCAAAATCTTTAAGCACTGAGTTTAAGAGTCTTCTCACTTCTAAAATAATTCTACTTTTCTATTTAATATGAGATTCATTCTCACATTTAATATACCAACTAGGTAGAAATAATGCTACGCGAGTGGGCATTTTACCAAACATAGACGTGGTAAGATGACATGTGCACTTAATGTGCCGAGTTATAGTTCTAACTATGGCTGTTCAAAAAACTAAAAAATTGAGCTGAGCCACAAAATCGAACTTTTACATGAAGAATGATTTTTGGGTCGTTACTAAAGAATGCTTTTTGGGTTGTTTAATTTGTCTCTTTATATAATGTGTCCGAAACACATGTAATGGTGCTGATTCATGTTTGAAAAATACTTTTTTTTCCTCTCAAAATTTCAGCTTCTACTGCATTGATGCAAGCGTTAAAGATGGTCAAAATCCTTACAATATATATATATATATATATATATATATATATATATATATATATATATATATATATATATATATATATATATATATATATATATATATATATATATATATATATATATATATATATATATATATATATATATATATAGCATTATCACCAAAGCAACATTCTTTTAGAAACTCAAACACCATTCTATCCCACAATATATGTACAATTTTAGTGTGCAGGAGAATAATTTGCTTCATTGTTTAAAAAAATTCTCTCAACTAACTAACTAATGCACTTGAATTTCCACCTTAGTTTGTAAGTTAGGTACACTCAAATTCATAACCACTTGATTAACACCACTCAAATTCTCAATCTCCTCAGCTTGATATGTAGAGTGAACACCATAGAGAACATAGAACATGGTAATAAAACATGACCACAAAGCGAATCGTTGAAAAGAGAGTGTTTTGAGTGTCATCATCAGGAAAACATTGAGAAAGATGGACATTGATGGTGGCCATGGCATGAATGGGACATACCAACAATGAGCATATTGTTGTTGTACAAGGTTGTTGTCACAAGGTACCATGTGTTGAAAAAAGGCTATTATTGTGATCATGAAGCCACCAAAGAGTAATAGACCCCACCATTGCTGCTTGAATTTCCACACTATGGAGAAGCATAAGGAAGTGAGGGAGAGGAGAAATAGGAACAAGAGTGTGTGTAAAGGCGGAGTACCGCCCGTGATTACATAGCGACGATATATCAGAGCATTCGCTACCATGTAGAACACCATCAACGTCCCGATGCTAATCAACTCTATTATAATGTCTAGCTCTGTGAATAGCGCAATTAACGCCGTGCAAAATCCTGTGAAAATAAAGTCAAACTGAACGCTGATACTTCAAAGACTTAATCATAAGATATCAATGAGAAAAACAAAAATGCTTACCCAAAAAGATAGTGGCATTCAATGGAGTGCCTGTTGAAGGATGTACTTTGGCCAACCAAGATGGAACAAGCCTTGCCCTTCCTATAACACAAAGATATCTTGCTTGTCCTAACATTGCAACAAGAAGGGAAGCCACTATACCTAAACTTGCACCTGCTCCAACAATGTTGCTAGTCCAACTCCAACCAATTCTGAGAAAAGCCATTGAATAGGAAGCTTTCTCTGATATCTATTAATCATATCAACAACATATATATACATCTTTGTGATCAATGCAAAACAACAAACACATCATGTGCACTTTAGGGATTTTATTACAAACATCACATCACTGACCTTATTGTAAGGAACCATCATGCATAAAGAGAGAGCCATAAGGCAATAAAGCAAAGTGGTTATAAGAACAGAACCCACAATTCCAATTGGTAGACTCTTATAAGGATCCTTAACCTCTTCAGCCATGGTTGAAGCTGAATCATAGCCTATATAACTAAAGTAAACTATTGCTGCTCCATCAAGAACACCTCTAACACCATAAGGAGCTATCCCTTTTGGATTAACCATGTTCTTGGCACTTCCATTGCAATAGCCAGCCACAATAATGAATCCAAAGAAAATCACATGGAACACTGTCATAATTAGGTTCAATATAGAGCTTTCCTTTGTACTGAAATGAAACCAATCAAACAATAAGAATGATCATTAATTTGAAAGAATCATTTTCAAAATCAACTAAAACTAGTTAACCAAACCTATGACACAAGCAGAGAGTAAGGAGAAGAATGAGAGCTACTGCTGGAAAATCCAACATGTTATAATCCTTTGGCAATCCATGAACTTCCACTCTCCATACATTTGGATTGTTTTCTCCAAATGCAAAGCTTAGATATTCTGTAAAACTCCTAGCTACAGCAGCATTTGAAAAAACATACTCCATTAGTATATTTGCCCCACCAAAATATCCCAAGAATTCTCCTGCATCACAATATCAGACACAGACACGACACTGACACGTCAACACATATAACTAACATATCGACATATATTTGACACGTACACTTTCAAGAATAAAAGAAAATGGTTTTTATTTTTACCAAATGTTAATCTTAAATAACTGAAAGCTCCTCCAGCAACTGGAACTTGAACTGCAAATTCAGTGTAACAAAGAGAAGACAAAAGTGCTGATATTCCTGCTATGATATAAGACATAAAAACCGAAGGACCGGACTGATGAAGAGCAACAGGACCGGTTGTAACAAACACACCAACACCAAGCATTCCTCCAACTCCAAGAGCTACAAGATCATACCAATTAAGCTTCCTTTTCATGTCTGCACCAGACCTATGTCTCACTTGGTTGAATTCTTGGTCTGGTGTCCATGTTGCTAGCATTCTTTTTCTAAGCCTATGAGGAGTTTGTGAGAGTGAATAGAAATAGTTTGATAGCATTGTCATGATGTTGGTTTGTAGTGTGGATGCTACCTAAACATTACTATTGTATATGAGCACTTAGTTTTTCTTGGCTTCAATAAGGTGTTGGATTGAAGGTTTTTAAATAAGAATAGAAGAGGGAATTATTATTGCTTTATTCTTTCTTTTTTTTAACTATTGATATATTAAGAGGTCCCCTTCTAATGTCTCTAGCTAGCCCTTTTGAAATTACATATATATCCCTTAGTGTTTTTAAATATTATCAATTAAGTAACCAATTTTTGTTGATGCACTTGTAGAGACTAACTGATTTAAAGAGATAAAATTTATCTCTTTAAAATATGTAGTCTTTAGAACTGTAACATTATACTGCAATTGTAGATAATTTAAGTTTTTTTTATATTTTTGTCTAGAATCTCTTAAAGTTATGATTTTGGATCCTCTATGCACTCGATGCGACCAAATACTAGTCGTTGGATCAAAGTGCAATTCAAATTGAACGACGGAGATTAGGCTGCAGATGATTGCACTGATAGTGCTTGGGAGACCAAGAACTGTAACAATTTTTTGAAAGAAAGCATTGAATTGAAATAAGAATAGTAATTTAAATGAATTATAGGTTAGAAGAATATGAGAATATGAACAAGTACTTTGACCTAATTCTTTGAAATTTTCTCTAGATATTAAACATTGAAAAGATGTGATTAGCATCCTCAAAAGCACCAAAAGAGTTTTGCATTAAACTCAAGAATAGTTGGTCTTGATTCTTGTGTACAAAATATAATAGACATCGTGGAGTGGTCACTATACAATTGTAAATGGGAGGTTGCATGTATACTATTAACTAGAAAAAGGAAATAAAGTGACAGTCTCTTACTTAGAAGGAATTATTCTTTATAAATAGTAGTTTATTAGTAGTTACGAGGGTTTTCCTATTTTTCCTAAAAACCACTCTTCTGTCTTCCACCCTTTTGCACATGGGAATCAACATGTTCATCTTTCACACCTTGATACAGTCAATTTTATGGTAATAATTTATTAGTTTATACATATTATGACAGGTGGACTACACTACATAATTTAAAATTTTATTACGGTTTTATCACGGTTAAATTATAGTTAAATAAAAGTGTAATAAATAACCAAATGATAATCAAAGAGATAAAATTAACTGATACGTTACGGTGGAGTTGGATTCTCATGCCGGGAATGAGACTAATATATAAAATTAGCACTCCAACGCTCAAGTTAGTAAATGAAATGAATAGTAAACTTTTAAATTACAGTGAAAATCATGCCTAAAAATGACATGATAACTCTCTTTAAATAGGAGTTTGTTAGCAACTTAATTAAAAAAAAATTAAAAAGTGCATGAAGCATAGGTGACCATAGAATAAGTCTGACGGTGTGGAACGTGTTTTCTGATAGATTGGCGTGAGACATCTTAATAGTATAATTTTTATTTTCGTCGTGTTTTGCATTCTTGTAATATTGAGTTACGCATTATACTGGGTTTTGGCAACCAGCTCAGATTAGTTGCCCTCAAACCTCTATCTTTTGTCATGAAGAGTAAGAGTTTTGCAATAAGTTTCTTGCATATCCCTAAAGGTCATCATGGGAGAGGTCTGATGAGATGTCAGTGTTTTCGGAAAGAGACGCTTTTGGGATAACACTTATTTGTGGCGCTTTAAGAGGCTGACAATGACTGACACACGCCCTCTATCTTCATTAGTCGTCCACATGATTAAAATTGGGATGTTAGAATTTTAATCCAATAATCATAGGAGAATCCCAACCATTGATAGAAGAGAACGATCGTGTGGCCTTGAATCATTTAAGGATGTGTACTATGTTTCTGAAGGGATTTTACTCTTTTTATTACATATTGACTTTCTTGAAAAGCTCTTTTTTCTTTCATGTTTTTACTCTGGAGATTCTTTTGGTGTGAAGGTTGATCGCCTATCCGAGAAATTCTACTCGTCGATTTAGTTTCTTATGTTTTTGAATCCATACACAAGCCTTTGAGTTTTGGTGCCTGAGCTTTTCGTCCTCTTCTCTTCTTCATCATTTCTTAGGGTTTCTTAGTGTTTTGAATTTATTTGTCATTCCTATTGGTTCTTGCATTTTCTCTTTGATTCCTACAAATATGGTTGTTTCCTATGTGTCAACTAGGAGTGATGGTAAGGATGTTTCGGGAGTTTGGGTAAGTTCTAATATATTAGGTACCATCACTGTCTTCTCCCATAGCGATACCTTTTATCAGGCGATGACTAACGTGGGTCCTCCTGAGGACTGGGTGTCTAATATTTATATGAGGATTAAAGGGTATGTGGTCAATATAGTGGGTGTACTATCTCATTTCATGAATGTATGTTCTCCCTCGTTGGCTATCGTCTCCCTTTCAATGAGTTTAAAATCAATGTTCTAAATCACCTACTTATTGTTCCCTCATAGTTTCACCCTGTGAGTTGGTCGTTGGTCAACGTCTTCCAACACTGGTGTGAATATAAAGGTAGCAAGCTGGCAATGACCTTGTTTTTTACCTCTTCAGAGTGCAAAGTGGTTGTAAATCTATAGATGATTCTGGCATAATTAATTTGCACAGAGCAGCAAATATTTTGAGTCTTATTCTAATATTTTAAATAAATTTAAGGATTGTTTTTCTTGGTGGTTCCCCTAAATGAGGAAGCCCATCCAAATATTTGTAGACTAGATCTTAATGCTCCTTTTTCATGTACAGAATTTTTTTACAAATATTGGACTCAGTCATTCCCTTATTGGAGTTGGGATGTGTAGTTTTAAGGAAAAAGATTTGTCTGATGAAGAGTTATATTTGAAAGGCTAGTTGGTGTCTTACTTCTAGGATCTTGGTTATGTAGGTGGGATAGTTCTCTTTGACCTTGCTTATAAGATTTAGTTAAAGAGATGCATTCAAAATCGCTGGATTGTGGATGTCAAATTTAAAGAAGAAAGGAAAAAGATCATTGGTAAGCTAGGTTTAGAATTTCGTCTTCCTCTTTCCATTTCCTTGGTTCTTCCTAATATTTCTCTTTTCTCTACATATATTATAAAGAGTGAGGACACCATGTGGCAGTTTAAGAAAGATGTTAGAGTTGTTGTTGCTTTGGTCAGGATCCCAAGCATTCCCTTGGATGGTGGTTTGTCTACTTTGGGCACGCCCACTGGCACACCGTCTAGTCTGGTCATTGGGAAAGTTACTTAGAAGATCCTTCATGGTGTTAGGGAGGTGGATCCTCCTTCCCCTAGTTGTGCCTTTTTGGAATAAAAATATCCCTCTTTTGGTCATAAGGATGAGGATATGATGTCTTCGATCCTTGAGTCTGAGGAAATTTATGAGGAATGTCCTCCTCTCAAGCGTCTTCGATGGTCTAGGTCTTTTGGTGGCTTGTTCTCTACACAGATGAGTGGCAACCCTGTATTGTTCGCATGTCTGGATCCAAGGACAGGTAGTGACTTTTTCTCCTCAAATTTTGATAAAGATTATGCTTACTTATCAGGACTTATTGAGAAGACTCTCCAAGGTGAACTAGTCGAGCTAGCTTCTCGTGTTTGTCATGCATCTGCTGTTATAGCTTTTTGTATCCCTTGTTGGACAAGTGACTTCAAGCATATTAGGAGTGAATTGTGGTATTTAAAATTTGTGATTAAATTTAAAGATTCTTTACTTAAAAATGAATTATGTTAGTAATATTTAAGATCAGCTACAATAAACATCGGAAAATGAAAACAGTAAATTAAATGTCATAAAATATGCGATAATGGTTTAGAGAGATGGCACCAATAATTTGTCCAAGTCCGATGAATGTTGGCCTACTCCTGTCTGTCGCACCTCAAAAATTCATTCGAACATACGACCCTCGCACTAAAGGCGCGGAAATGCGGTTCGACAGAGTTCCCACCGAACTTTATTTATCCTGAAGAGATGGGAAAGGAAGATATTGAGAAAACATTTTAAACAAAAGGACAGGAACAGGGTCGTCGCAATCGACGTTCCGGGTTCGGGAGTCGATTATGCAAGGGGAAGGTATTAACACCCATCACGTCCGTTGTACTCAACGGGAACCTCTTAGGGTGATTTGCGATAGGCGTTATCTAAGCTTGCTTATTTTCTTTTCAATAATAAATGTGAATCGACAAGACAAAAAGGTAAAGATGCTAAGGGGAAATGGGTGGTTATAGGATAGGGTGCTCGCTAAGGATTGAGGCCCTTGTGCCTACGTATGCTCATTTGGACAAGAATGAGAAATCAGAGCGTCGTAGTTCGACTATGGGAAAGGATAGGGGAAATAGAAGATGGATAGAAGGTAGACGAAATAACATATAAAGATAGAAGTGTACTCGCCAAGGTCATCGCAATCTTGTGCCTACGTATCTTACATTCAGACGAGAACAAAGAATCAGAGCATTTGTAGTTCATGGAGACGACCATGAAAAGATGAGCATTGAAATGAGTTTGAAGTTTGGTTGAGAAATGAAAGATTGACTGACAAACAACCCAAGGGGCGTGCCTCGAGAGCTGTCACTCAAGAATTCAAGGAATACGGGATTCCAAGAACTTAGTTCTTTCGGGAGTTGATTAGAAAATAGTTTGGGAAAGGTTTGAAAGTTTTGAAGTTGAAAGATTGAATAAATAACAATTCAAAGGCGTGCTTCGAGAGCTATTCATTTGAGGATTCAAGGAATTCTAGACTCCAAGAATCTCCTTCTTTCATAAATTTGACTATGAAAATGTTTGAATAAATATTAGGTATTTTAAGACGAAAGGGTGAATGAATGACAACCCAAAGCATGCGCCTCAAGAGCCATTCATTCGAAGATTCAATGAATGCTAGACTCAAAGAATCTTCTTCTTTCGTTATTTGTTAAGAAAAGCGCTTGAAAAAAGATTGAATCGAATTATTTGCGAAAAGAGGTGGACTGCGAGGCAAAAGGCACTCAGCTTACAACTTGGCTTTTTATACCACTTGACGTTGGATCAAGGATTTGATTTATATTTGCGTGCA